CCATATAAGTAAATGCTCTATTTATTTCATTATAAGTATATTATTCATAACAATACAGGTATTTTCAACTTCCAAAAGTTGAAATCAAATATTAGGCTTTTAAATCTCTGCAATGGCTTCTCCCTTTAATCTTAAAGTATAAAATTCTTTTAAATAACTGCATCAATGAGCCCATTTGCATATAAGGTCTTCAATTCTATGGCATTACAAATCAAAAATACTGAGATTCTGGAAAAAGTTAAGTAAAATATATTAAGAGTTATCAGTAGGGATCCATGGTAAACCAGATAAATAAAAAATCTCACAAATATTCAGAAATCAGTGGTGAAAATGAATTCATAATGTTTAGAAAAAAATTATTTGAAAAACTAAATTCCCTTTGGCCTAGAAATTTCCTTTTACGACTGGGCAATATATTTTTTTTCTCTTCTACTTTTAATCCTTCATCTCAGAAAACTTACAATCTCTTAATAATGTTTTGACAGAGGATGTATCTAGCTATTATTTTTGGATCAAATGTAAATAAGCATTGCAGAGTAACATGAAAATTAGATATTGTATTTGACTTATATCTGCAAGTTAAATTAATACGTTATATATTTATAAATAGTTTAGAAATTTGAAGATTAATTTTTCATAAATTTCAAATTTTCACTGCACATAAATTCAGCTTTTTAAAGAAAATAATGGAATCTCTTAAATAATGATATATACGAAGGCGTCGAACAGCCACCAATCTGGTCTGCTTAAACGTGGTGGGATGGGATACCTACGACGATGAAGTTAATATACCCAGTTTCTCCGTACTTCATTGAGTTGTTTAAAATGCAAATCTGAGAACTGAACTATATGTCGGTGATACACTAAAGCCATGGGCTTGTAGCCATGGTTATAGAACTATGATGGCGACGGAGCTTCAGTCTGCTAAGACCATTTGGAGGCTGGAGGTCTGGATACCAGATTAAGATTAAACAATTGTACAAATTTTGGGGTCTCCGAATTATACTCAATAAAAATATAATAATTAATAGATAATTAATAATTATAATTAATAAAAAAATGCTGTAAAGTGGCGCTAAAGAATTTTATATAAAGACTTTTGTAAACATTACAAAAGTTGACATCAAGCGTATCTATTCATCTATTCATTTGTACAAACAAACTTACTTTATATTAAAGGCTAAATTAGGAAAAAATTTTATAAAAGAATTCTTAGATTTATAAAACATAAAAATTATGAAAATCTAAAAAAAAAAATAAAAAATTTTATGTCTGGATTATTGAAGCAATGGTTATTTTGTTGTACCCAGATTATAGAGACCACACTGTAGGTAACACGCTGTACAGATAACTGTATACTCGTATTAATGCATGTTCGGATTATCGAGGGTATAGTGTATATCATATGTAATTTAATTCAATATTCATATTTCTCTTCCCAGTATTACTTCGAAATAAATACCCACCTAACCATTACCAAACACATTTACTTTTATTACCAACTAAGTATCAAAAAACATTTGTATAATTATGTATATTACACTGTAAAAAAGTAGTACTATTTTATGCTTTAAGAATTTATTTAGTATTTTGTTATAAAAATGGGAAGAAGTAAATCGAACAAACCGCATGAAATATTTAGTACTCGTGCTCAGATTATATTGTGCATTTATACATTAATTTCATATGAAAATATAACATATGATCGAAGAAAAGATCGTGTGATATTGGAATCTAAAAGTTTTCTGCAAAGAAATATTTTTCTTTTAGTTTTTGCCATCGATGGATTAGTACTGTTAGCTGCACTACCATTTGGATTAATAGCTTTTTTGGCAAAAATGACGCCAGACAGAATACTATTATTAACACTTGTGAGCTTGATTATATCAACAAGAACTTATGGCATATGGAAAATCTTTCGAACCAGTAGAAATCAAGTTAATTTACGAAGATGGTTGAGGTTATTGAACTTCATGTTTGAATTACGAAGATTAGTTTTAATTGCTACTGGAAAAAATTTAGATATATCATGGCAAAATTTGTGTCTGATTCGATTCAGATTGGCCATGGTGGTTCTACATTATGTTGCTAATTTTATTATGTTCTTTCCGCGATTACCATTGAATTTACCTTATATGATTTTTCTTGATCTCTTCTACACAAGTTATCAGACAACACAATTGATTTTATTAAGTTTACAAAAAAGTGTTAATGAATTTTCTAAAAATTGTGTTTCACTTACAAATGAAAATTGCGGTTTGAATATGGAAGAGCTTTTGGCAGAGGCAATGAATTGTGAAGCGCATAGAAACGGTTTAAGGACTGTGTTGAAACTGTCATATGGAATTCAAAGAGTACAACTCAATCTACTCCAGCAGTTAAATTGGCTTCCATCAATGGTATTTCTTAGTATCTTTAGCTGCATTTTTAACATTTATTTGCTGACGAATTGCATTGTATCAATAAGGCACAAAGTTCCTCTGCTTTATTGGGCCGCAAGTAAAAGTCTCTCTTTTATTGTACTACCTTGGCTCAATATATATCTATTATGCAATTTGAATTACGAATTATTAAAGGAAAGGAATATCAGCTGCAACATTTTAAAGATTGCTTCACTGAGATTGCAAAGAATTTGCAAATGTCTACGATGTGATTCATTTCAAAAAGAGGTTTGTTAGATACAAGATATTTCTAAAATCACAAATTAGTAAAAAAATTATT